AAAAATGTTCTTTTTCCTTGAAAACTATTGCAGGTATAAAGCCTATTGTAGTCAAATCTCTGACACTACTAGGGATGAGTCTCTCTGATTTTTCCCCACAGCAAGTATGCGAACAAAATCTTACGAGAACCAAAATTTTAAACGTTTCGACTAAAACTCCTAAAAATGTCTAAAGTCACTTTACTTTAAGCCAAAATGAAGCTTACTCAATTCTCTAAAAGGGTTTTAACACAGAAATTGTAAAATCCTGAACCGTCTACATCAAAACTTTTTTTTTACAAAGTGCTTTTAACATGTATGAGCCCCCTTAAGCCCAGCTAAGAGCCGCACGCTTATACAGCTATTGGCGCGCGGCAAGAGCGGCTGATTACGGCCATTTTGGAGGATTTCTTCTAACGCCTTTCCTCTCTTCGTTCTCTACCCTCGCTACCCAGACCCCGTACAGGGGTTGCAATGCGTTCTACCTTCCCCGTCAGTCCGTTTTACAACCTCTGGTCATGGCACAGCCAGACCGGGTCGCTAAAATACTCCATGTCATTTAAAAACAGGCAAAAACACTAAGAAATTAGTCAGAATAGCATACAAATTGACGTCTGGAACTCACATGGAAGGTGTCTGATAGTCCGGCCACACTGCAAGAGTTGTCTTTTGTGGACGTGATGTCCAACAGACCATGCAACAGTCGCCCCGACAGTTTGGGATGGTGTGCGGGACCAAAAACCGAGAAAAACTCTTGAAACTCCGCGTTTTTGGCACTAAACGTCCAATAGGGACAGGAAGAAGTTGTCCTATCGTACTACCGAGGTCAGTTCTGGAATCAGCACAAAAAAAATTCATCAACATAGAGCGCTAACCAAGAGTCGTAGTCAAAAAGTCGTCTATATCGACGCACCCTACTGCGAATATAATTTATTAATTTCACTTAAATTCGCTATCTAATTTTAAGGCTGTGCTGCCTGATCCTGACCTATAACCAACTTTTTCGAGCCGCAGCTGTTTAGAGGGAGTCTGAAGGAACATTTTCCACTATTGGGAAGTTCATGTTTAGACCCGCTTCCCTTTACATTTTTGCCTTGAAATTAGGCTCAAAAATAACAAAATTTTGAGTTTAAGGCCATTTTCTGACCTCCAAACTCAGTCGTAGGTTCATTTTGGCTACGGATTCTGATTCCTTGTTGAATTTTACGTAAGGAGCAGTGGTCTGGACCTTCTGAGTCAAAAACTTTAGAAGCAGGAGGGATGCGCGCAAAAGTTGACACTTTGTTCAAAACCACTTAAAGAAATTTCAGAGAAAATTTCAAATTGCGATATCTCCGGAAGTATTCATATTTCGACCTTAAAAATTTAGGGTCATCTTACCCTAGTGGTAGGTAACATTTGACCACAAAAGGAACGAAATCGGCAGAGGTCACCTGCGTGACCTGCTAATTGGGTCTTTGAGTCAAACATGAAGTTCTCGAAGACATTACGCTTGAAACGAGGGGTCCAGCACTCTGGTGATCGTGTGTACACTTCGTCCTGTAACCATTGTTAATCACACGCTAAAACTGGCTATTTTCGCTGTTTTTATCGGATTTTCTGGATTTTTTCTGATGAATATAGGCGAAAAATGCTCTTAGCTGGCCAAAATGATTGTGTTTTGAGTATTTGGTAAATCACTGGCAATCAGTAATCCTGTGTACACTCCTGAGCTGAGTGGTGGACCCCTCGGCTTGAAATGAAGCATACACTGGAAATTCTCCCATGCATTTAGATAGGGGGAAACTTGGCGGATGAAACTTGGCGGATGAACCTATTGCGTAAACTGATTACGCTTGAAAACAGAGGATAATACCAAGCTTTGGGTTTACCAGTGTGGTCGCCATTGGGTGGAGCTGGGAGTTTTCTGTCTTCATTGCACTCGTGGTCAGCGCCTCGCTGCGCGTAGGTCCGCTCTCCTCCATTCTGCCTACCACCGTTCAAGTTACTGAATGGAACATCCGGGCAGTAACGATTGATTCTGCTTTGTGATAGCGAGTGAAGAAATCCCCCGTTACGGGACCCGAAGCCGAGGGAAGAAGTACACGGTAACACCATCTCCTGGGGATTTCTGGGAATCCCAGCAGATCTTCCTTGGAGGTAGCCGATGTTCTTGTGAATCCCACGAGATAACGTTGAAGCGCGCATGACGTTCGACGTTCGTACAGTCCGCATGGCGGCAAGTGGCATACATTCCAGGTTGCGCATGCTTTCCAATTACACCCAGGTAGCGAACATCTGCATGAACACCGTAGCTCTCCTTTACATTCAAAAGATGGATAACCCCAGAATGGAGTGTTCATGCAGATGTACGCCGTACAGCGTGTACTCGAGGGGTTTAACACTCGCGTATTACCGCATAGACAAAACCCGTGTTACGCGCAATACACGCGAATGCAATACCATTTTAGGGCCAAAATTACCAAATTTTGGCATCTCAATTCCGTACTACGTGTGAAATATCTCCGTAGTAGAGCGTAATACTGAGTTGTCCGTAAAGTATTTCTCGAAGTGTTTGCCCCCTCGCCTCGCGTGTTCTTGGAAAACGCGCAATCTGTAGGCTACCCCTGCCCAGGACTTCAACTTCAACATGTGATGAGGTGTAAGCTCCACGGAGATTTCGGACCATTCCGTACGTAGGTATCATCCGAGCGCTGATAAACGATTGCGAACGTAAAAAAACTCTCCACTTGGTGTTGCATGTCCTTCATTTGAAATTGAGTTGACGAGGATCCAGATAAGATTCGGAACGAAGGATTCATATCACTACTGACAAACGAAGGGGGGAAAAAAGAAAAAACATTCTGAAAACCTTACACACTAAATGTCATGGGACTTTTTTTGTCCCATGAATGATGCAATTTTAAGCACATCCGGTGGTGATACAATTTTGTGTCCGCCAGGCGGG